GGGGCCTCGAAGGCAGGGCCCAGGGGTGGGCCGCTGCCGCGGTATTTCCCAGAAGATGGGCATTATTTAAGGTTAGGGGAGAGGGCAAAAACCAATTTCCTAAATGTGGGTCATCATTTTCTTTATCCAGTTAGCTTGACCTATTTAATTTCTGAATATGTTAAGAAAGCTTTCCCCAGAGGTTTTTATCCATTTTAGTAAACAGTGTGCTCCAGGATGCAGCAAACCAGCTGATTAAAAAACAAATGGGTTGTCTGATGATACCTCGATGCAGACAGCAGATGTAACTAGGGGCTTGTTACAGATCTGAGCGAATTGGGTCACAAATGAAGAGGTTTGGCAGATTTAACAAAGACACTGGCATACATCTGTCTGCACCCCAATGCGCCTTACGCACACGGCCTCCTTATTTGTTTAGACTCCAGCAATGGAGAGCTGTAAGAAGCAGGGAAAAAGATTTTTGTGTGGAGGGCTGCGGTGCACAGGCAGCAATCTGGTGAGGCAGTGCCCTGCCACTGGGGTGTATTGATCCCTGCCTGGCCATAAGCATCAAAATGGTTACTCAGAAATACTGAGCTATGAAAGGAATACATCCTGCTTCAGCTAGAATGGTTCTCTTCAGGTTCAGCACATCTTTGTCTGGCTTTCATTTTCAGTAATTTCCCAAGGATTTAAAGGTTATTCATCATTTTCACAAAGATAATGAGTATCCTTTTCAGCCAGATGAAATGTAGATCAGCAGGTAGAGTGTTCATCACAATAGACAGGTATTTCCATAAATTGAAAAAAATGGTTTTGATGTGTACATCATATATGGCCATTCTTCCTTGTATTGTTTTATAGTCTTAGCAGGATGAAGAGCAACCCTCTATTTAGTGATTCTACATCTTTAAATATACAATACTTTCAGGTCAGCTGGGAGCAGGGTCTGCGTAGAGCGGCGAGTCATCTAAAAGTGTGATGGATGCAGTCAGCTATGTAACTGCATAATAAGGGTACCTTGTACCACTGCCCTTCTGGCTTCTGAGGAAAGCAAAAGCCTCTTTCAGTCCCCAGCTGCACTCCAGTTAAGGGTCAGCTTGTGAGGTAGAAATTATCATCACCACTTTCAGAAGGAGAAATTGCAACAAAGAGGTGTGAAGCAGTGGGGTTAATCAATTATGCATTTGGTCCCTTGGGTGGCATGCAGAACCGGAGCTGATGCCTAGGATCACAAGACAGTACAGAGGGAAAGGAAGGTGTCTCTCAAGGGTGATCAGAACTAGTATGGCTTGTCAGTAGGAAATGTGGGGAGGATGCTTAGAAACACTCCCTACCCTTAAATCTCGTGCAATGTTTCAGGATGGTAGAGGGAGTATTTCTCTTTAGCTGGGATTTATAAACCCTAACCTTTACAGCTGCTCTATAATTGCGCTTCTGCTTTATGTAATAGGCTACCATTTAGTCAGGTAATAGGAAACATGTATCTTCTTCAACTGCAGCCTCAAGTTAAAGGAGTTGAAATCCATATTCTCCATTTGCCAGGAGAGTATCCTTAAAACCAAATTCACAGGCTTTTCCTGTTAAGGCTGAGACATGGCACAGCCACAAATTCAAGCTGATTGGGCCGGAGAGAGCACAGTTAAGATGTTAATGTAGGGGAGGGAAGATCTAGTTTCTGCCCTCAATAGCACTGTACAGTCACTGGATATATTGCATATAGTCAATTCACTGGATGTATTACATATTATCAGTATGCATCTGTTTTACATAAAATTTGGGGCGTCATCAGAAGCAGACTTTAAGTGTTACTTACGAGCAGACCAGGGATTGTTCTTATCATAGTTTATAACATCTGCACTTTTATTTGGCCTACCTACTTCACTGGATCTGGCCAGAGATAATTTCAGAGGGGAGATCATAACTCAGAATTCCTGTTTGTCTATTCTGTGCTTTCACTGATGACCAAATTTAGTTTATTTATCTTTCTCTTAAACATAATGACTTATATTCCTCGTTTCACATGAGTAGTGTGGAACATGTTTCATGCTTAAATACTTAATTGAAAAGCTTGCCAACTCTGTCATGCCTCTTGGGGGGTAGAAGGGTAGAGAGGTAACAAAAACAGCTTCCCATGTAATCTCAAATGAAAACTACATTTTCATAGTTTACATTCCAGTACTTTGTTTTGTGGTTTGTTTTTTTTTTCAGGAGCAATGAAATTGTGATGTTAACTTACAGCTTCCTGTGGGTGTTTGTCAGGCATCTTTAATCTAAAGAAAGAATCACAGAGAAGAACTGCATATTTACTAGACTATTAACACAAGAACAACGCTTTATAACTGGCTACTTCACCTTTGCCCTGAACTTCCTGCGCAGAGCTTACTGTGATTGATTTTACAGGTAGGTTTTCTATATAATATTAAACTATTTCAGTCTATTGGCTGGTCGCCCAGGCAGGCCACATAAAGAGATCCAGGCAATGTTGTTTTGTTC